AACATTAAAGCTACTGACAGTAGATCACCGTAACAGATATAATAATACTTTAAAAAGTTTAAAATATGGCAAGAATTACCAAAATGTGACCAAAAAACACAAAGTGAACACATGCTGTTGGACAAATGGGGCCAATAAACTCACTTGCTGCAAGGTTGCCACAGTCCTTCAATTTATAAAAAATACAATATCTGCAAAGTGCAATGAAGAGAAGCACAATAAAAGTGATATATGTTTGAATCATTGTCTGCTTTTAATTTGAACTTCAGTGTATCAGAGATACAGGAAAGGCTTCAATATAGGACTCTTTTTTTTTTTGAGACAGGGTCTGTCTCCCTGTGTTGCCTGAGCTAGAGTGCAGTGGCATCATCATAACTTACTGCGCCCTCTAACCCTTGGGCTGAAGCGATCCTCCTGCCTTAGCCTCCTCAGTAGCTGGGACTACAAGTGTGTCCCACCATGCCTGGCTAAGTTTTCTGTTTTTTGTAGAGAGGGGATCTCACTATGTTGCTCAGGCTGGTCTTGAACTCCTGGCTTGGAGCAATCCTTCTGCCTTGGCCTCCCAGAGTACTAGGATTACAGACGTGAGCCACCACCCCTGGCCAAATATAGGATTCTTTTTAAAAGTAATTTTTGCTCATCAGGAGAAAGTTATTGTGAAATATTATAAAATATAATATGGGTTTATCATGCCATGTTTCATGTCTTTTGCCAATTTTACTTTTTGCTATAGAATTTATTCAATAGTTTTATAATAGCAGGGAGTTGCTATTATAATAAGGTAATTTTACATTTACTAATATTTAGAGACCACATTATGTTATTTTAATTTATAAAATTTTTGGCACAAAAAAGTGCACCATGATTTATGAAAGATGTGTGTTTTTTTTTTTTTTTTTTTTTTTTTTTTGACAGAGTCTCGCTTTGTTGCCCGGGCTAGAGTGAGTGCCGTGGCGTCAGCCTAGCTCACAGCAACCTCAAACTCCTGGGCTCGAGTGATCCTTCTGCCTCAGCCTCCCAGGTAGCTGGGACTACAGGCATGCGCCACCATGCCCGGCTAATTTTTTTATATATATATATCAGTTGGCCAATTAATTTCTTTCTATTTATAGTAGAGACGGGGTCTCGCTCAGGCTGGTTTTGAACTCCTGACCTTGAGCAATCCACCCGCCTCGGCCTCCCAAGAGCTAGGATTACAGGCGTGAGCCACAGCGCCCGGCCGATGTGTGTTAATTACATTAGTCAAACATGGAATCGTCTCAAACATAATTTCTTTAAATCCAACTCTATCTAATATGACAACTCTTGCTGGAAATGAAGTAATATTTTATTTTTATAACTCTTTTGTTAAAAAACTCTATGGTTTTTGAAGACAGTCTAGTATCTTTTGAGAAAAAAGAATGTCTCAAAAATGCCTTCTGCAACTCCATTACCTCCTAATACAATAACTGTTGCTGAAAATGAAGAGTTTTAATCTGTTTTTCCTGGACAACAAAGCATATTACCAAAAGTCAGAAAAGTCCTCCTCTTCGGTACCTTTCCCTTTGGCACAGTGAAATATTGCCTCTTTTCTCAACATAGTATGTATTTTTATAACTCCATAATTTTGCTCACATTGCTCTCTCTGCCTCCAATACACTTTCTTATCTACCTTGTGAGTTCCTTTTCATCATCCAAAAACTAACTTGTTGTAGACTTGATATGTGTGACTTGTGGCTACACACTACTTTTTTTTAGAACTCCCATAGTCGCTATTCAAGGTGGATGTAGTCAGTTGTTTTTCTGTATTAGGAACTAGGTAGTCACACTAGCCAGTTGAACCAGAGGAGAAGCCATGATCAAAGCTGAACCAATCAGAACCTTAAACTGGGAATTTGGTTTTGTGGTATATTGGATTTTTTTTTTTTTTTTGGTCTGTTTGTACAAGACCTGAAGCTGTTGAAATCAGCCTTGCTGTTAATTAAATCATGTTCGCTCCAACCAGAAAAAAAAAATAGAGTTTGGAATAGGGTCTTAAGAGGTTAAGCAATTTGCTGAGCATAACTGAGCTGGAAGGTCATTTCTATTGGGGACAGAATTACAATGGAGCAGAAATCATCTGCAAGCTAATGAAGCCAGTCTACAGATTGTTTTCTACACTGATTTTCATGAGAGCTATCCTTCCAACCTATGTCTTCCTTTTTGCTTTTTCTAGTGTTAGTGATTTTATTCCTTGAATTAAAAGATCATTAAGAAGATGATGATTCAAATCATCTTCTCTGTAGCTTTTTCTGAGCAGCTACAAGCTGATTTAATTAATTTTAATCTGTTGTCAGGTACTTATATGTAATATGTATATGTTTTATTGTCCAAGATTAAAGGCCTAAACTTGAGTGCCTACTGTGATCTAGACATAATGGTAAGTATTATTATGATGCATGCATTCTAAAGTCTATATTCTGTCTATATTATCAATGAGGTTATATCCTTTGCCCATCATGCAGTTAGAAACTGAGGAAGACTGCTACCCCAAGTCTATCTGATTTCAGAGACTGTTTAAGCACCTAATGTATGTCCATGTGTACATTTAAAGGTCACCTAAGTACACACGGACATACATTAGATGCTTAAATTATGTAGATTCTTTTCTGCTTCTTTAATGTAGAAATAATGTATTTATTTTATATTTTGATATTGTACTCAGAGTAGTATTTCAGAAGATATGGAAATTGTAATCATAGAACTCAATTGATGACATCTTATAAACCTAATAGTAGCACTATTTTTTAAAAAACTATAAAAGAAAGTAGTATGATAGAGTTAGAGAATACAACCAATGTAAAAATGAAGGAAAATTTAATAATTTCACTCACAGTTTTCATAGGTGGCAGTGAATGCTAATTTGGCTATGCAATTAGAAATACTTATAACTATACTTTGTCTAGTGTAACTAAGATTTGTTACTAACTTTATGCAATTAGTGCAACTTGATTTACCATGAAGAAAAATCCATAAATTATTTCAACCTGCTGAAATATGATTAGTCATAATTAGGCTGTATATTTGTGATTTTTCTTTTAAATATATATCCCAATTCTCACCCCTATCAATAGATTTTAAAAAGTTGGAAATAGCCAATTCATCTAGAACAACAAGAAAAGGGAGTGGGGGAAAGACTTGTGATTTTATTTAATAATTATTTTAAAATCAAAGTAATTAGAGCAAATCTACTTTTAACTGAATGCCAGGGATTATTGATGTGAAATTGTTAGGATAAACCTGTATATCCCTTTTCCTCCCTTGCTACAATTCAGCAAGAACTTAATCATCACTAGATCAGTGATAAGTAGGGATCTTGACATTTTGTCCAGGCAGACCTTATGAGTAGTAGCTAAAGAAAGCATGTTTTTTCATTTGGGATTTTGCTTCAAAAATCAGTGATAATCCTACAACTATACCAGCATATGAACACAAAAATTCTATGCCCATGACACCCATTTGTTAGAGTAAAAACTCTGGAAACAACGTCTATCAAAAAGCATTGGTTTAATAAATTATGGTATGGCCATTCCAAAATATTACAAATTTAATGCAACCATTAAAAAGAATGAGTCACCTCTTTATGTAGTATATAGAATGATCTGCAAGACACAGAGTAAAAAGACCAAGGTGCAGTGCAGTGTGTAAAGTATACTAACATTCGATAAAATACTGTGTGAAATTTTCTCATGTGCATGTATTTTCCATTTAAAATCAATTAAAAGTTAAAAAACAATTTAAGTAGCCATTATCTAAAATGTTCCAGATTCCTTAAATAATCCTCTTTTGAATTTGTATCGATTTAGATTTCCATCTCCCACCCTCCAGTGACAGGTAATGAAATAGCTACAGTTTTCTTGAATTTTTTTTCCAACTTTATAAATACACAGAATTTCTTTTTTACATAAATCCTTCCTTAACTGCTCAGTTGGATAGATAAGAAGAAGAGGCATCCCTCCTTGGTTGGTTTCATATCCTCACCCCAACACTCCCCACCTCCCATCTAGAAATAAGCAGGAAGCCTAGTTCTACCGCAGAACTAAGGTAGATGTATTGAGATGTGCAGAGATTGAGAGTCTCTGGCTGCAATCAGTTCCTGTAGAAAGGAAGGCATCCAATGATCAGGGCCCTTTAAACATTTGCTCCTTTTCCCCTTTTAAACAGAAGACTCTTCTTTTTGAAGAAAGGGTTTCTGTTACCTTTCCTCTATTGTGCTTTATTGGACATGGCAGGCCTTAGAATTGGCCTTCCTGGCACTTCAGAAAACAAGCACATAGAGAAAAAGGTTTCTCCTGGGTGAGGAAGCTGAGACTTCCAGACAAAAGGAATGTAACAACAGACATCCTGCCAATTCCTCTCTCAGTGAAGAACCAATGGGCTTGTGTCCCATTGGCTGAACCCCTTGAAATTGAACCGCTTCCAGGAACACAAAAACAACAACCATTCTAGGACATCTGCGTTATTTAAAGAAACTTTTGGGACAATGGATCAGTCACTATTATCCTCCGAATGCCTTAAACCCAGGATTTTGTGGTTTCGATGGAGATTTTTAGAATACTACAGAACAAATTTAAATTGGGAAGCTTGCTTTCCCCCTTCCCCAGTATAAACTATATCAAATCTAGCAAGTAAAACTGCATAGACAGCTTAGATTTCATTTCCCTATCCTCCTTCCAATCAATAGATTGTAATTTAAGCAAACCTTGAAATATTCAAGTCACCTAGCAAGAAAGAAAAGAGTGGAATGGGGGAGGATTTGTGATTTTTATTTAATAATTATTTTAAAATCAAACTAATTAGAGTAAATCTTCTTTGAATGTAGTAGTATTTATGATATTTCAAATTAACTTATTTGGTACAAAATCTGCATTTATTATCTGTATTTACAAACACATATCCTCTTTCTGCCAACCACCAAGTACTTTGGCATTAATTATGTGGACAGTTTCCTTCCTTGTCCAATCTATATTGGCCACTTAAGGAGATATTACTAATTTATTGGACATTATTTTTGAAAGTCGTAATGTAAGATTCAATCTCATACTACCATGATCATTTGAGTTTCTCATCAAAGAACACATTTTTCTTTAAAGTTACTCTAGAACTGAGCAATACTGCCTTACATTTAGACAATAGATTTCCTCTGATCATCTTTAAACATGTCACCACATTTCTATTCCTGTAGAACACACATACATACACACATTCCCCTCAAAGATCACAATCCCCAAATTTATCTATACTTGTAATATTTCATGATATTAAAAGTAAATTTTATTTCAAAAACCATCACAGCCTAGAAATATAATTTAAGCATTGAGATAGTACATTTCAGAAAAATAAGCTAATATTTTCATGTGAAATTTTAGATACCTATCATTTGTCATTCTAAGACCTCCTTGCCTTCTAGACTCTAAGATCAAAGGGAAAAGGGCTATGCATTTAGGGACTATAAGCTGAAATTATTTATCTCAATTCAATATAGAATATTTATCAGAATCAAGACAACAATCAATGTATACAAAAATTTACATAACAAGAGGAACAATAGACGATGCAGCACCTTCAGAAAAATAATTAAAAGTTTTGTTGCATTTACAGGTAAGTGCCACACTGAGAATTTACAACACAGTAATTTACTGCAATCACAGGGGAGTTCCATAAAGAAACAAAGCTCTTACACTCCAGATTTTCAGATGGTATTATTGGAATGCTTAACTAAAACCACAGAATTTGTACATCCTTAGGACTGAGCTCACAAAAGCCATAAAAGGTTTTCATAGCATATATTATATAAAAGGAGTCCACTGCGTTCGGACAGCTGGTTCAGTGTCTCTGACAGGTGTGAAGCCTAGAAGAATTACTGGCTTGATGGTGATCTTTCTGTATCCGGCAAGACAGACCTTCTCCACAGTAACAACGCTGGAATATTTCCAGCCCATGGGAGCCTTTTCTCCTGTGCTTGGTGCACACTTGACCTTCTGTGAGGACAGGTTTACAGATCTTGGACCAGAAATGTCTAGCACAACACAGTCCTGTGGCGCAGTCTGATGATCGAAGACAGACAGAACCCTCTTGCCCTATGAAAGAGGAGACAGTAGGAAAAGGACGTGGTTACTGCTAAACCTATATCATTTCATTGAAATAATTCAAAAGACACTTCCGATGTGCTAACAAAGAAGAATAAATCTTAAGGTTCCTTAACCCACCTTTGGTGTGATACATTTTGGAAGACAGTGTGGTTCTCCTGGAGTACCCATCCAAGGGGCTGTGATCACTCCCAAAGCTTTCAATGATGGTTTCTTCGATTTCTCCTCGATGGAAATGATTTTGATCAGAAGGCATACATATTCCTAAGGAAGCAGGAAATAGTGAGTAACTCCGGGGTTGCAATGCGTTACTGCTAACAGCTCTGACAGCGCAGTCTCCTCCGCCTGCATCAACTAGAGATACCCCATTGCAGTGAAGTTATTTTAAACACAAGTCCAACTTCCTCCCTAGTGTTAATGCAGAACTCCTGGGAGGGGCAGAAGCAATAATGTGTACGCTGTACCATCATATGAAACATCCCCAGCATAGCCACATAAAATACTTTCCTAGCAACTGTGGTATCGGCAAGTGAGATTTCTGTCCATTTTAATATCACCCTTGGGGTAAGAAAAAGAAAATTGGTCACTTTAAAAAAAAGTGTTCTTAAAAATAACTTCTCTGCCCTTAGTGCTATATGGGTACTGCCAGACTAAGTTAAGCAAATGCAATGCCAGCTGCGAGGAAGATTACAATCTCACCCACCAGTTACTTTACTGTATAATTTCTTTATTACAGAGATTTAGTTAATTCATCCTGGAGTACTGCTGGGTCCTAACGAGGGTCGCCACCCTGTGTGTGTATTTCTGGAGACCTCTTTGGCTGTCTAAATCTACCCCTCCGAAACATTACATTTCAGTGGATCTGTGGTTGAGGGGAGGAGTACTTATTTTAACGTAGCAGAGGGTAGAGGGAGGGGGAAGGATGGAGGGGATGGTGTGTGTGTGTGTGTGTGTGTGTGTGTGTGTGAAGAGTATCAAGATCTCTCTTTAAAAAATGATCAGTGCAGATAAATCACTGTCCTCCAGTTTACAACAGTTTCAACTGAGATCCTGAGAGAGAGGCTAGTCTGGGAAAGCCCTGAGAGTCACTGTAAGAAAAATGGAAAGGATAGCTAAACACCAATGCTGGTTTCGTTGGTCTCGCTGCATGGTCCTACTGCCTTCTGCGTCCTCTTTCTCAATTGGGTTTCCCAGGCAAAATTTTAGGAACGGGTCCTCTAAGAGGGAAGCTGTCGTGTTAACTCATTGAGAGACGGAGAGGAAGAGAACTCATTGAGAGACTCCGAGACCTCCGGACTTCTCTCTCCTCCCAGACCGAACGCTCGCAGTGAAGGTATTTCACCTGGACCCCCGCATGCTGGACACCTGTTTGCAGGTGACGCTGCAGCATTCGCAGAGCGGAGACCGTTCGTTCTCTCCCATCCTGTAGGGCGCTCAAAGGCAGAACGGCTGGAGTCCTACAGGGAGCTACAGGACTCACCATTTTTGCAGAAATTCCCGGGGCAGCACATAGCGTGACGCAAGCAGCGTTTTCGGCGCTTCCTGCAGGCGAGACAGATTTGCACGCCCGCGCCCCCTCCGCGGGTGGGACTAGCGCAGTACTCATCGGTGCCGCACTCCTCGTCCTCTGCGCACGGGTATGGCTGCGAGAAGGGGGCGAGGAGAGGGTGAGGCACCTAGGATTCCAAGTACCCACAACTCCTGGACCTGGATGCTCATCTCAGTGCGCTATCTGTCCGCCTCTCCAAAAGCTGTTGCTGCCCACTGCTCCCAAATGCAGCGCTTCCAAATGCGCCCTGAACCGCACACGCTCGGCACGTTGTACGCCCTCCTCTCCTAACGGGACCCCCTCGAGGTCACAGCATCTCAGGATCCCCGCGACCCCTCTCACCTGGTAGTTGTCAAGGGAGTGATGCTTGTTCCCGCCCTCGTACAGAATTCCGGGCGCGGCGCTGACCGCGGAGCCTGGGTGCCCGGCAGCGCCGCCCAGCGGCGGGGGCAGGTTCTTGATGGCGTTGGAATTGACCAGAACTGAGTTCAAGGTGGCGCTCACTCCCAGCGGAGGGTGGCCGCAAAGGCTCGCGGCTACTAGGGCGACCAAGACCCGGGCAGCTCCCACCGTGCCCGGAGCAGTCATCTCAGAAGGACTCAAGGGTGAGAAAGAGAGAGAAAGGAGGAATGCCACTTTGCAAGCCTGGACCCCGGGGCAACCGTGCTGGTGCCCGGCTGCACAGTCAGGGTTCCGGGAGCCTCCTGCGGTCCCAGAGTCCTGACTGCGGGGCGCACGGAGCTCTGCGCCGCCACCGCCACCGCGGCTGCCTTTATACTGCGGGCTCTGAGCATTCCGGCCCCTCCAGGGGGAGACAACAAAGCCGGGATGAGATTTCAAAGCGTTGGGAGGGGCTGGGAGGGGGTGTGTTTGTGTACATGAAGGGGGGCCTTTGACACTCTTCACCCCGCCCCTCCCTTGCGCAGTCGCTCCACCGGCACAGCGCACCTTGGGGTGACGGTTATCAGTGAGCATTAGAGCAGACGAGTTTAACAGATGCAGGAGGCGGGAGGAACTCTGGAAACATGGGTGCCCTTACCTTGCAGTAGGGATCGGATTATCTGGATCTGAAAGACTTCAGAGCCTAATGGTGATGATACTCTGCAAAAACACTTGGCGCCCCTCTGCTTTGCAACGGTACTCGTTTATCCTGCACACAGATACTGTTCAGTATTTAATACGAACCGATCAGTAATTCAGTGTCTTTATAGCGAAACGTCTCTGCGAGAGGGCCAGGTGGCGGGTGCAAGTTGCTTCTTAACCCTTTAGAGTCGCGGTTTGCGAGTTTGAGAGAGGTCCTGGGCTTTAAGATGGTTCAATTGCCACTGCTCCCTCCAGCCACTGCGAGAAAAAATGTGCAAAGAAAAGGAAATTTGCACATCAAAAGGGGGTAAGAAGGAAGAAGAACTAATTCTCTTTTGATGGGAAGTTTAGAGAGGGAGGCGAGAGACTGGGGCTTGGAAATTAGATCAGGGGCGGAGGGAAGAGGGAAATGAACATCCGATAATCAAACTATTTAATGTTGTTCTTTGAATCTGAGCAGTCGCGGCAGTAGATGAACTTGATTAGGCAGACGCGCGAGATCAAAGTGGCTGGAGCCAAAGCGGACAGGGTCCGACATGCCAGGTCAGTCGCCCTTCCGCGGTCCCCCCTTCTCAGTGGTGGGTTAATGCAGGGAGATAAGAAACCCCGAAGGCTTAGCGCCTGACTTCCTCGTTAGTATTTCATATCGCAGTGCTTGAGAACGCGTGTGTTTGATCCCAAGTCAAACCTTTCTCAGGACCAAGGAATACCCCCTCTAGGGAGATAAGAGACTACCTTGAGGAAAAGGAGAGCTGAAAGTGAATCAGAAAGTGAATTTGACGTCATTCAAATCCATGTAAAAGAAAATAATAAAGGCTGGTGCATACAGATGTTGTCATGTTTGTGAGTTGGAAATAATGATCTGTTCATTAAAAACAAGTCATATTGGAAGCTTAGAGCCCTAGCATTGGACTACTGTTGATGTTGTCGCCTTCTTTTTTTTTTTAAATGTTTTTTTTTGGTGAGATGTAGGGAAGCGGTGCAGTGAATACAAACATTCATGAGACAAGAATTCTCATTCTAGAGAATAAACTTCTCTTTATTCTAATTATAATAATAATAAAATATATAATACAATTATAGCAATAATAAAAGATAAGAAATGTACATAATTCCTTTAAAAACAGGTTGATGTAATTAGTATCAGGAAATGGACAGCTGCTACCTGCAAGAGTTGATTAAATAATCACTGTTGAATAAAAGTGACTGAAATATATTTATTTTGTGCACCTCTAATTTCTATAGGTCTAGGCTAGCTATAATTATTCCACATACTGACCTACTGGGGCCACCACCAAGTAAAGCCAGGGATGGTTTTAAAAGTAATAAAATCCTGAAGTTGAAGGAGTAGAGAGGAAGAGTAATTAAAAAACAAAGTTTGTGATTCCCTCAGTTTCAGAGGTCATATTAAGAACATATTCTAAACAATTCTTTAATACAGCCCCTAGTTAGATTGGTGTCTTTCCCATCACAAATTCCACCTGTCCTGGGAAATATCCTTTGGCTTATTGATAGCTCCAGCTTGAAAGTTGAACATAGAATAAACTTTCTATATCAACTTTCTACAAATTTTTTTAGGGTTTTATGAACATGTGCAATGATCTAGACTTGGCTACTTCTCTAGAAATTTTTGGAACAAACTGAAATTTAGAAACAAAGGGGAGTTTTTTTTTATTGGCTTTTTAAAAATGATTGTCAGAAATAATTCAAAAACGAGTGTGAGTTAGCAATGAACCAGGTCTCCCTGGCAGATATGGCCCTACCACTCATCAGACTTGAAGTTTACATAAGCACAGAGTAATTATAGGGTAAAAAGGTAAAAGCATAGGAGAATTATGTGTCATATTATTGCTTGCAGAATATTAATAACAATATCGATAATCAATGTATTGACCACCTTCCATGTACTAGAATATGTGCACGCTGTCTTAAGTGTATATGATGTGAAAATGTGGAGAAAAAAATCCCCTGCCCATCGGAAGGGTGAAAATGTTTTTTCCTAGCCTATTTAAATATTTAGACTCTAGAAATACACATGTGCCCACATTAAGGGCCAATCTTTTCCCTTCTTTTTGGAAGAGATGGTATGTGATTAATGAATTTAATGAATTTAGTTCATCAAGACCATAGATTCACAAAAGAAAACATTGCTTGGAGATGAAAAAAGAAAAGCAGAACAATTTAATCAAAAAGAGAGAAACTTTAACAAAGAGGCATGTTGCATAAATTTAATCTTTATACCTGAACATATATTGTATGTCTACTGTGGTTTAATATTCATTGAGCTTAGACATAATCTGTTGAGTTAGGGGAGCTAAGCCAAGAGTAGGGTTTTAAGAGTGGACTACCTTCTTCATCTTTCATGTTGCTCCTGCAGTTGTCATGAGTTTAAAACTAATCATGAGTTGGTCAATGTCTGAGTTCCTACTATGTGCTAAGCACTGTACTTGATGTTTGTGTAGTAAAAGATGAATACTCATACAATCTACCTTCAAATGATTTAGAGGACAGAGAAGATATAAACTCACAAACTGTACAGGTGAGAAATTATATACGTTGTCTTCAGAGAGGGCTAAATATGTAGCAAACCAACCCTTTGTTCCAAATGAGCAAATTTACTTTTTCAGTGTATTCTCCATTTGAAAATCCTTTCCATGATTTACTTTTCTCACTGGCAACAAGACTGCAATGCAGGTAAAGAGATAAAGTACAATTAATTGTTCTATCAGCAGCCAGTTAATATTAAGTGAATGCCCATTAGTGAGGGTAAATCTCAAAATATCAAAGGCAGGCTCCTTGTCCTCAGAAAGCTTTTGTCTATAATAGAGTAGTTGGGGAAACACAATATACTTACATGAGGATGGGGGTAAAAATTTTTCCAACCTGGATTATATTTTAGCACTTATTAGGTCATGGGGAAGAAATAAAAAGGCCCAAGAACCGTGACCAATTAGTCTCAGGAAAGAGAGGATTCTGATGATTCTCTAAGTCTCTCTTATAGCTGGGTGACAGAGGAGGAGGGAGCCAGAGCAGGTATATTTAGTTTATTAAACTTATTTTATTTAGTCCTGCAGGAAACCCTGCCTCCTATTTGATCTGGCTTAAATGTGGCTATAATTAATGCAATAAGTTTAATATTTTATACTAGATTTTAAAATAGGTGAAATACACTTATCAATGTGGAACTGAACCTCATAACTCAGTAAAGGCATAATACATTCTTTCTTCATATTGTAAGTGTTGGATGCCAGGCATAGCATACTTATCAACTTCTTCATCCTTGGGGGAGACCGACAAATCCACTCCAAAAAACACCATGCTATTCACAAACTGTTTGTTCATCTTTGTTATGTGAGGTTCTTTTCTGGCTGCTGCATTTTTTAACTCCCTCCTTTCTCTCTTTTTTCCCTCCCTCCTTCCCTTCTTCTTTCCTTCTTTCTCTTTGTCAAAGGAAGCAGATTTGTTATCATATAATATTACTTGGCTAGGAAAACACTGAATAAATGTTATTCCTTATGGTGGGTGTTGCCAACATTTGTGTTGGTGTCAACCTTCAATTTATAGCAGGGATTCCTCATTCCTGATGTTTAGTAAAAATGTTATGACTTTCTCGTTGGCCTTTAAAACATTTTGGTCTTAATGTTCTCCCTGATGTGAAAAGAACTTTTAGACCCAGCCCATGTTATGACTCTCCTGAGAGCTGGATTTCTGCACTCCTCAGTACAAAGAGAAGGCAAGATTTGATGGTGATTATGTTTATTTGGTCAGTGGAGATGGCCAGTCCAGATAAATCAGGCTCCATGGTAGCTTTCTAACCTAGCTCAGAAGATGTGTTTTACTGGAGCAGGACATTAAAAACTAAGCTGATGCTTCTTAATTGCCTTACCAAAAAAAAAAAAAAACTAATCTGATGATAGAGCTCAAAACCGAGAAAACATTTGGCCAAAATTCAATGAGGATGGTGTCTAAACCACACATCTGCCTGCATCTTTGCTGAGGTTTTGACACTCAGAAAGGTCTGTGGTGTGAGGGTATGGGGAGTGCAATGGCCCCCTTAAATCTCCTAAAGGATTTAATGTTTCCAAACATAAAGATAGGCCATTGTTGTCAGAAAGCAGCCCTCTGGGGGGCCGAGGCCGGCAGATTGCTCAAGGTTAGGAGTTTGAAACCAGCCTGAGCAAGAGCTAGACCCTGTCTCTACTGTAACTAGAAAGAAATTAATTGGCCAACTAATATATATAGAAAAATCTAGCCAGGCATAATGGTGCATGCCTGTAGTCCCAGCTACTCGGGAGGCTGAGGCAGTAGGATTGCTTGAGCCCAAGAGTTTGAGGTTGCTGTGAGCTTGGCTGATGCCATGGCACTCACTCTAACCTGGGCAACAAAGCGAAACTCTGTCTCAAAAAAAAAAAAAAAAAAAAATAAGCAGGGTGTGAGACCCCCATTGAACAATCTCCATATCTAGAGAAAAATAATTTTTTTCTATGCCACTGTTTTTTGTTATTACTTCCTTTATAATACAGGCATACTCGAAGGGTCATGGCCAAGAAAGGCATCGCATCATGGGGTCAGGAGGCTGAGGCTGGACTTCTCTATACGGGGCACTTCCACTGTGACAACCTTCAGATGCCTCATAAACATGGGACCTTTATCAAGCCATTTAACTCTTGGTGTTAGTGTTGGTTTCTCATTTATAAAATTGGATGCAGGGGAGATGGAGAGGTCCCTTC